GCCGGGGGAGCACTAAAACAGACAAGACATAGCTTAACAAAGAACTAACAAAAAGCCAACTACCCAAAACACGCCGTGCCCAAGGGCCGGCGGATTTACAGGGGCATTTTGCGTGTGGGCGGTGGTTTTCTTCCAAGATCCTCTCAGAAGCAGGTGTGTTGGAATGCATTTTGGTCCGCAAGAAGCGTTCAGGCCGTAGCAACCGTGCAGCTTGCAACCATGTGTGGCCCTGCTTGTGCCTGCTTGTAAGTTCCATATACTGTATATATATATTATATCATCCTCACAGCTTCCCAGTGGAGACCTACGGAAAAGAGCCAAGTAAACTTGCAAACTTGCGTGGGCTGACAAAGTGATGATGGTCACATGGTCATAAATGTTGAATCCCATGGACGTTGGCAGTGTCAATTTTGCTAAAGAGCCTTCCCTACCCGCATGACAAAGCAGAGCGCCGCACTGTCTGCGCCTAAGTCCCGAAAGCAGAATGTGGACAGGCTAGAGTCTGGATTCCGGTGATTTTAGCAAATGAAACTCAACTTTCAGGTGATCAAAATGCAGGCACGTTTCTCAGATCGTATCTTGGCCTGTTCTGTCAGAACTTGCGTCAAGGTTGAAGGAACGACTTTGCAGGAGATGTAAAACCCAAGTTGCTCATGATGAACTTAGCTGCACGAGCCATACCATGTTAGACTGCAGCTAGATAAGCAAATAAACTCCCAAACGCTTTTGGACAGGACTTGCTCCGCAGACCACCAGCAGATGTGGCGCAGTGGGTTGTGCAGCAGGCGAGACATTGTGAAACATCATGGAGGTTGTTTGGAGGTCCTTTGAGCTTTGGACGTGTTGAATGCAGGCCGAAGCTTTGTCTGCTCCTGGTGCACGTGTGCAAAACCTGGAAATTTTTCAAGTTGCAGGCAAGTGTTGTATCCAGTTGGCCTTGCTGTGCTGGTTGCGAAGATTGGGGACTTGATTGATTTCTGCCTGAAGGTGCCTTAAGCACCGCTCCAGTGGAACAAAAACAGGTCGGTGAATGAGAAAAGATGTGCAACTCGAGTGTGCACACGTGAGCCAACTGCCAACGTGTGTGACCAACATGCTCGACCAGCACCAGGAGTTGATGAAGAATGCGATCTCTGGTTTTGGTCGGCTTCCAGCAACCCAACGTGCAGAGGCGAGACGAAGAACACCCAGTACTCCACCTGTCGTCCCCGCACTCGGTGCTTTGACTCGGAGTTTATTTGTGAAAGGTCCTGCGGTTTGCTGTTAGCACAGCTGCAGTGGTGCGCCGCCAACCTTTGCACTTGAAGAGCTTCACTTAGCATTCCATTCAAGATGAGCTTTAGCACTTGAAGAGGGCATATACCATTTCATCCTCATTTGTGTCATTCTGCTGTGGAGTTGTCTCACATAGAGTTCGCCGTACCAGGGAAAATTTACAATGCTCCCTAATCTTGAAAAACACCTTCCATACTCATTGGCATGTGAAGTCCCGCTACCCGCAATGCCAGGCAGGTAGTTCACGCAGGGGAGACGTGGATGAACTGACGAGGGCCAGCGGAATAGGGTCTGATAGCATGTCACAGTTTTCATGTTTTCTACTGGCAGAACGTGGGCGTCCTCGTGAAGGAGGCCAAGATAGATCAAATGCCACCAGCAGAAAAACGACAACTAGCTCAGGAGAATGCTGGAAGCCTGTTGCCCTGATATCACTTTTCCTGTGCGTCTTTTTTCACTGGGAGTGGACGTATTGCCACCAACTCATGTTTGCCAAGCAGCACAGGAGATCCAGCAAGATGCAGCAGAGCTGGTTCAACCACAACAATTGATTGAGGTCACAGTGCCCAGCAACTTTCTGAACAATGTTCTGGTCCTTTATTGTCATTTTTGGTGTCATAGCATCTCATAGCGTACATCAGTGATGTGACCTCAGTGAGCATGATGACTAGAAACACGACAGCTTCTCAACCATTCCATGACTGCAATCACGTCTTTTTCGGTTCAAGTTGGGTGGCGGCAAGGTTGTTGCAGAGCTGAAGCCTGAAGAGCGAGAGAGGATGACCGAGGTGCAACGGTGCAGTGCGGTTGCTGCTTCTGGCCTTTCCCAGAATTCTAGTAGTCGCTATGGCTTTTGACCTAATCTAGTTCTACTAGTAGTAGTAGTAGTAGTAGTAGTAGTAGTAGTAGCAGCAGCAGCAGCAGCAGCAGGAGGAGGAGGAGGAGGGCTTCCACCAAATGTGCCTGTAAAATCCTGGCTCAGAAATTGGTAGTCGCTCAAAAGAGTGGTTTTGGGGTTTCTTTATGGCGGCTACAGTGCAAACTTCGAGTCCGGCGACCTATTCAGCTCATGCCTCAGTGTCATTCAGGGTCAGGGAATTCTGTATATAGTAACTTTGCCTGAGAAGTTGTTGATGAATGGTGCCACAGAACTAGTGCCTCTGATGTCTTCTCCTCAATGGTGCATTGAAACTGACAGCGTGCATCGCTCCAAGGTCGCAAATGCAAGCAGCAATCCAGTGTCGCTGCCTCAAAGAAATTGAACTTTTCAGTCTGCCAGCAATTTTCCAGCAGACTTTGCTGCTGAGGCTGTATCACACCGCATCTTCAGCTGTTCCTTACTATGGTGGAAATGGGTTTGCCCCCGAGAGTGTGGACCTCGTTCGAACAAGAAGTCTGCCCCGGAGATGTATTAAGGTCTTATGTTCCTGCCGTAGTGGGTCCACAGGCGGAGACTGTCTGCCGATTCTTAAGTCTTTCTGATGGTGAGTTGAAGCCAAACGGAGGCGGGCGCTTCATTGTGCCGGCCTTATCGTGGATTTGTCGGTTGATGTGCCTTCAACATCTTTTAATACATAGGTTCTGTGATGTAATGAGGATGTATTTCTCGCTGTTAGGTCATATGTCCCACCAGTGGGAGCACCTGTGACAGCTATGGGAGCGCATCTTGTCCAAGAAAGAAAGGCATTCTCCAGCATGTTCATTAAGATACCGTGTTAACGGGTATTTCTGAGGCCCAGCAACCTCACTGAAGGGATCCCGGATCCGGACTCAATCGAGCAGTCTGGGGCCGAGTCATACCAACGAAGAAGAAGAGACACCTAGTAGCGTTCTTGTTCCTAGTTGCGATGCCGTTTGTTACTAGTAGAGTCCTTGCTCCTAGTAGTAAGGCCAGGAGCCCCTAGTAGCGTGCTTGTTCCTAGCAGCTTCGACAGCCTCCAGGCAAAAACGCGCTTATGAACGTGGTCTTGATGCAGAATTGGAACAGCCGGACACCAAGAGATAGAGAGAGAGAGAGAGGGGGAGAGCTTCGGTGGCTGTGACCTATTGAACCGACCAAATAAGGACCCGGAAGCTAGCAGAGGAGCAGCTCAAGCAGTCTTCCTGACGAGTTGACCCTCCAAGCTTTTGAGTTACACTGGATGGTGATGAGCGAGGAAAAGCTTGGGAATGTTTCAGGTAGCGATAACCTCCTAAGTCCATTGTTGCACACCAAAGAGGAGAACAAAAGTTCAGAGAAGTTCCCGTCTTCTGAAACGAGTGCACCCGGAATGGTCATGTCGAACCGTGGAAATAGAGTTCCAAAAAAGAATGTGAGGTTGCAAGATCTATTTTCATGCTGAAATTGAAACATCACGAGTGGAAAACACTGCAGAGTTCAACGACAATGGAGGTACGCCAGGCTGACCAGGTTTGGTTTCACCACCGTTTGCAAGCGTTTTCTTTTGGTAGGAGTCTTGCAACAGTGCCCTTGCACCCTGAAATCAACAAATGCAAACATACGCAGCTGATTTGCTGTTTTGTCAGCAAAGGGGTTTTGTCATCTAGAAGTTTATACATGTCAGAAAGGGCAAGTGAAATAGAAGTTCGGACAAAGAAGTAGAAGTACAGGATGTCGTCTTCAGGGTTTTGTTCCCGCTTGGGATGTGTAGTTTGATGCTAGGAGTCTTTGATGTCCGAAAATTGAGCACACGTGCCGGTGGACACACCGCACGCTACTGCATGTCGACCTGACCAAGCCTGGAAGCAGCCTCAAATGGCCTCAAAGACTTTAGAGGAGAGCATATTATGAACATCACAAATGGCACCAGCTACGTCGGCGTGAGTGGCCCTAATATCCTGGGAAACCATAGAGAGCTTGGGCACGCCTCTATGGGCCTCCTCTTCCCCTGCATCAAATGTGGTTGACTCTCATTCTTTAGGTGTTGACATCCACCCACTTTGATGTCCAGGCAAAAGAATGCGGTCAAAGTTGCTGCTGAGCAGCAGCTCGCTATGTACAAGGCCTGGTCACATGCTTTGAGCACCTGTGGGTGTGGTCTGTAGCTCATTCCAGTACCTGAATTGTGAGGCTCAAATGGAGCAGTCAATAAAGCAGCAGGAGCTCAGCAGGGACCTGAAAGCAAGAGATCTTGCCTTGCACAGCAGCAAAAGTGCCCTGTGACGAGGCCTTGATCATCAATGGCAGCAGCAGCAAATGGAGCTGCAGCAAGCCTTCCTGGCAATTTATTTCTCAACAGACGCGAAGGTTACGAGGAACCATGCTGGGGAGGTTTGGTCCACAAAACCGTGCTGCCAGGCGTTTCTGAAGCAGAAGGCCGCTTTGGAGCAGCAGGAGATTGGGGTGTCGGTGCCAACACAAGAAAGCAAACAGGACCAGAACACTGATGCACTGTCTTGTGTTTTCACAGGCCAGCTCGCTTGCAATGGAATATCAGCAGCGCAAGATGCACGAGGATTTGCTGAAAAAGCAGGCAGATGTCAGCAAAACTCTTGGATTTGAGCCAACAGAGGCAATGTGACAAGACTGTGCAAGACAAGCTTTGTAAGGGTGCCTTGTTAGGACCAGTCATCGTATTATTCCTCATGTTGTGACTTGTTGTGACCAGAGCAGAACCAAACAAAAAACAATGTAATTATAACTATATATACATACACATACACAATTATATACCATATCATTCATTGCCATTCGGGCTTTGTGCGGTTTGCGAGGCTGAGATGCAAAAGGAGATGCATGATATGCAGCGGCGCATCCATCTGGACGGGGGCGAGAGTGCTTAGACTTCTTTCTATGTTGTTCACGTTTTTGAATTCAATCAAGGTTTTATTGAAGGGAGAGAGAGAGAGAGAAAGAGAAATGCAGAGACAGACAGACAGACAGAGAAGATGATAGCTTCGCGTGCCTATGTGCTAGTTGCACGAACAAGAGCACACGCGTCCTTGCTTTCACGATTTCCAGGAGCTCCAAGACCACCAGCAGCAGTGCCCTGTCCGATGCAGTCTCAAGTGTAATGCTTGAACATGTTCGTCCAGCTTGTGGGGTTCTAGGCAGAAGGGTAGATCCAGAAGGTCGAAGCTGGTTTCCCAAGCAAGACTGTCTCACCAAATTGTCACAGAGCAGCTCATCCCAACCACTGTCATTCCACAGAGGAGTTGCCAAAGCTCGCCCCCGGAAGCTCAAGACTAGAACCTGCTTCGCTGCTAAATTTGCGCAAATGCCTTTTTAATTCCCAGAAATCGAAGCAATCCTTTTTGACATGGAAGTCTACGTCCAGGCAAGTGAACTTACAGCAACAGCATGCGGCGAGAGCCTCGGTTTGGAATGGATAACTGGATTGGAGAAATGCTAACGGACTCTCTTTTGAACAGGTGCAGAGACAGCAGCACCAGGAAGAGTTGGCAGCGCAGCAGGCCAGCAACGGTACAGCAAGCCAGACAAGCCAGAGTTGCAAGCTTTTGGAGAGATACTGTAAGCCTGAGTCACTTTTGTGCGAATAGGCTTTGACAGAGCTACAAATCCCGTTTGAATCCTCAACTCTTGCGCCGCGCAGATGCGATTGCAGCAGACGCAACAGCCCCGACCTCAAAGTTTGACTGCGCCCTTTATCTCAACGTACGATCTTTAACAAAGTCGAATACCTGTATAGTTACAGACAAATACTTAGAACATCAATTCTTCTCCCAAAATGAACACCCCATTATTTAATGTAAGTCTGTCGGTCTGTCTGTCTGTATGTCATGTCATGTCATGTCATGTCATGTCATGTCATGTCATGTCATGTCATGTCATGTCATGTCATGTCATGTCATGTCATGTCATGTCATGTCATGTCATGTCATGTCATGTCATGT